TTAAACCGCATAAACACATTTCATTACACCAAATACACAAAATAATGTTCTTTTTAGCAGCATCATATGACCCCTTTAGAGGGATAGTTATTCCACCCTCAAGCCATCCTAACTGTATATGACATTCTTCTTTCAGGCGAATACAATCAGAGTTATATTAAATAATGTCCAGGCTAATCCATGCTTTATAATGGGAGTGGATGGTAGCCCACACTTTGAAGTCCAAAAAATTGCAACCATCCATTATAAAAGAAGTCCACACGGCTCTGGGGGGTTAATAAAGGCCTTCTGAAGTGTAGCGATGCATTTGTGTAAGAAAACTATCCATATTTACAACTTTATAAACCTTAATCTCTAGCTTCCTCTAGAGGTTGTATTCGTCTGAAAGAAGAAAGTCATATACACCTAGGATGGCTTGAGGGTGAGTAAATCATGGGCTAATTTTCATTTTTGGGTGAACTGTTCCTTTAAAATGAAAAGGACATGATATTACCTCTATGAGCAGTACATTTACATTTACATTTAGTCATTTTGCAGACGCTTTTATCCAAAGCAACTTACAATTGGGGGATACATAAAGCGATTCTTAAAGAGGCTGTTTTGTGCTGACGAGTTTTCAAAAACTCACTGCATGCATAAATCACACAAATGACCTTTTCTGAATTCAAAACGGCAATTTTCGGCTAAATGTGACTAGTTGAGCTGTCCTCAGTTTAATGCTTGTGTGTGTGTGTGTGTGTGTGTGTGTGTGTGTGTGTGTGTGTGTGTGTGTTGGTTTGTCTGTCTTTTGTCTTTTTCTGTTCTGCACCCCAGAACGTTTCCCTCCTCTATTCATTTTGTTTAGGATATGACTGTGACAATGTCTAAGGGTGAACTCATTTAAAATGCTAAACAAATGTTAAACAAACAAACATAAAAATCTTATTTCTCCTTTGTTTATTTTTAACCAATAAACTTGATTATTTATTTTATTAAAGAAGATTTTCACTGAATAATTGCGGAAAAATGTAAGAAAGTAAGAGCCCTTGAGCAGATCTAATAATAAAAATAAAAAAAACATGAATGAATGTGTCTTGTTATTTTCTTTTCTTTAGGTGTGCATTAGGCTAAACGATTTGCCAAGGTTATCAGCATTAAAAAGTTAAATCTGACT